GAGAATAAAAGAGTTCAAATAACCAAAAGCACTTAGAACAGTGCCTGCCACTCAGTGAATATGCTATAAGTACATGCCATGGCTACTGTAGCTTGTGAATGTGATGGTCGTCTATCTAGTGTCTGGCACAAAGAGTTAATCCAAAAAATATTAGCTTATATAGCAACTTCTAGTTTCTCCCATCTGAGCTCTTGAATTTTAAGGAGTCCGAAGGGAAGGTAATAGGATCACAAGCCTGTTTGGGGATTCAACATAAACAGACATCAATGGGGCCCTTTCCAAAATCTTATTCCTTCAGTAACTCAAAATTTAATCTTACGCCATAGGAGGAAGAATTTTCCAGTGCTCCTTAGAGCAAGGGCAAATTCTTGAGCTTCACCCCAGATCTCTAGAATCAGAAGAGCCTGGAAATGTAACCCATCCATCTGTTCTGGGTTTTGGATTTGGTTTGCAATGCCCACTGACTTTTTTTTTCAAGACCATTTGTTTTAGAGTAGTTGTAGGTGAACAGAAACATTGAGAAGGTACAGAGGTTTTCTGTGTGCTCCCTGACCGCCCCCCACATGCATAGCCTCCACATTGTCACCATCCCCCACCAGAGTGGGGCATTTGCTACGGTTGATGAACTCACATTGACACATCGTAGTTACCCGAAGTCCATGGTTTCCTTTATGGTTCACTTTTAATGCTGGGTGTTCTGTGGGGTTAGACCCATGTATAATGACATGTAGCCATCGTTACAGTGTCATACAGAGTATTTTCCCTGCCCTGAAAACCCTCTGTGGTCTCTGTTTCTTCCCCCAACCCCTGGCAACCCTTCCCCCAACCTCTGGCAACTGGAGCTCTTTTTGGTTTCTGTGGTTTTGCCTTCCGTCTGTTGTAACAAGTATCCCAGAGATTCTTGTGTTTTCTCAAGTTCGAAAATACCAGATGTAGACTCCTGCTGCTTTGACCACCTTCTCTTGCTGGGGGTCGGGGAGGAGGGTAGCGGACAGAGAATTGGCTACTCAAACTGTAGGACAGGTGTTCTAGCCCAGGGAGGGCTAGATGACTGAATTAAATAGAAATATAGGGGTAAATCCTACCTGATCTTGGTGGATAATCTTTTTAATGTGCTATTGTATCCTATTAGCTAGGATCTTGTTGAGAATCTTGGAAACCATGTTCATCAGGGATATTGGTCTGAAATTCTCCTTTTTGATGGGGTCTTTGCCTGGTTTGGGGATCAGGGTAATGATGGCTTCATAGAAAGAGTCTGGAAGTTTCCCTTCTGTTTCTGTTTTTGAAACGGTTTCAAGAGAATAGGTATTATTTCTTCTTTGAAAGTTTGGTAGAATTCCCCAGGGAATCCGTCAGGTCCTAGGCTCTTGTTTTTTGGGAGGTATTTGATCACTGCTTCAATCTCGCTAGATATTGGTCTATTCAGGTTGTCAGTTCCTTCCTGTTTCAGTCTTGGAAGTTTCCAGGAATGCATCCATTTCTTTAGGTTACTTAACTTATTGGCATGTAACTATTGGTAATAATTTCTGATGATTGTTTCTATTTCTTTGGTGTTAGTCATGATTTCTCCCCTTTCATTCATAATTTTATTAATTTGAGTTCTGTCTCTTTTCTTTTGGATTAGTTTGGCCAGTGGTTTATCGATCTTATTGATTCCGTCAAAGAACCAGCTTCTAGTTTCGTTGATGTGTTCTACTGTATCTCTAGTTTCTATCTCATTGATCTCTGCTCTAATCTTGATTATTTACCTTCTTGTGCATGGAGTTGACTTAATTTGTTGTTGATTTTTGCAGTTCTTTGTGTTATAAAGAGCTGATGTATTCGGAATTTTTAAATTTTTTTTTGAGCAAGACTTGGATGGCTATGTAATTCCCCCCTTAGGACTGTCTTTGCCATATCCCATAGGTTTTAGACTGATGTGTCTTCATTCTCATTGGTTTCTATGAATTGTTTAAGTTCTTCTTTGATTTCCTGGTTGATCCAAACATTCTTAAGCTAGGTGGTCATAGCTTCCAAGTATTTGAATTCCTTCCAAACTTTTTCTTGTGGTTGAGCTCCAGTTTCAAAGCATTGTGATCTGAGAATATGCAGGGAATAATCTCAATCTTTTGGTATCGGTTGAGCCCTGACTCGTGACCCAGTATATGGCTATTCTGGAGAAAGTTCCATGTACGCTTGAGAAGAATGAGTATTCTGTTGTTTTAGGGTGGAATGTTCTGTATATATCAATGAGATCCCTCTGGACCAATGTGTCATTCAATGCTCTTGTTTCTTTATTGATTTTCTGCTTGGATGATCTGTCTGTTACTGAGAGTGGCATGTTAAGATCCCCTATAATTAATGTATTCATACCAGTATGACTCTTTATTTTGATTAACAGTTGGCTTATGTATTGGCTGCTCCCATATGGGGACATAAATATTTACACTTGTTAGATCTTCTTGGTGGATAGACCCTTTAAGAATGATGTAGTAGGGGCGCCTGGGTGGCTCAGTGGGTTAAGCCGCTGCCTTCGGCTCAGGTCATGATCTCAGAGTCCTGGGATCGAGCCCCGCATCGGGCTCTCTGCTCGGCAGGGAGCCTGCTTCCTCCTCTCTCTCTGCCTGCCTCTCTGTCTACTTGTGATCTCTCTGTCAAATAAATAAATAAAATCTTTAAAAAAAAAAAAGAATGATGTAGTATCCTTCTGTATCTCTGACTACAGTCTTTAGTTTAAAATCTAGTTTATCTAATATGAGAATCGCTACCCCAGATTTTTTTTTGAGGCCTGTGGCATGAACGATGCTTCTCCATCCCTTCACTTTCAGTCTGGATGTATTTTTAGGTTCCAAATGTGTCTCTTGTAGACAGCATATGGATGGGTCCTGTCGTTTTGTCCAGTCTGCAACCCTGTGCCATTTTATGGGAGCATTTAGGCCGTTCACATTGAGAGTGATTATTGAAAGATACATTTTTATTGACATCATGTTGCCTGCGAAGTCCTTGTTTCTATAGATTGTCTCTGTAAATTTCTGTTCTATGTCACTCTTGGGTTCTTCTTTTATAGAACCCTCCCTTAATATTTCTTGTAGTGCCGGCTTGGTGGTGACATACTCTTTTAAACCTAGCTGGTCTTGGAAGCTCTTTATCTCTCCATCCATTTTGAATGTCAGCCTTGCTGGATAAAGTATTTTTGGACTCTGAGAAACAAAGTGAGGGTTTTGGAGGGGAGGGAGGTGGGGACCAGGTGAGCCTGGTGGTGGGTATTAAGGAGGCCATGTATTGCATGGAGCCCTGGGTGTGGTCCATAAATAATGAATCTTGGAACACTGAAAAAATAAATTTAAATTAAAAAAAAAATACAGATCGTTCCAGAGAACAGTCAGGGGTGAGGGGAGGGGGTGGGCAGGGACCAAGCACTTTGAAAGCACATGACTCTGTTGATAGGTCTGGAACAGAACGCTTCAGAGGGTTGGGTCCTCTGGAAGGGGCTGATGTCGTATCTTGTGCCATACTTCTCTGAGTGATGGCTAGGGAAAGGAAGGCATTTTGAATTTTTATGTGAGGTTAAAATGAAGAAAATCCATTTCAGCCTTCAGAAGTCGGAGCTCTTGGTACAAAAGGTCACTGATGCCGATTGGAGGCATGGCAGAGCTCAGAGGGAGAATTAAAATAGCAAACTTTTTTGTTTTTGAAGCACTAGTTGCACTAGAGGCTTGAGTTCTAAGTCTTTTGCCATCCTCCTGCCCTGGGATCTTAAGTAAAGAGCATGTGGGAAAGGAAAAACAAACCATTTTTCTTGGATGGATGTAGGGAGTTGGATGGAGGGTAGGGAGTTATCCTCAGATGAGGGGCGATGTAGTATTTGCAGTGGGGTGAGCAAGCCACCAAGTGATGACTCCATGGGGAGAGTATTGTTTCCAGTTGTGTAGTGCAAGTGACTGGTCAGTACTGATGGATGTTGGCCTCGAGTTTGATCCTTGCTCCCCACATTTACTTGATTATGGAGATAATCTATTCTTAAAGGCTTCAAAACTGTCTCTATGCATGAGGCTCTCAGACCTTCTAAACCTGTTGGGATGCTGTTCCATGATCATAGAGGAGATGCAGAACCAAGCTAATGTTGTACAACCTTTCCACCCACCTCCCAAATTGGTGACCTCTCCCACAGCACTGTCATCCTCGGTCACCCAAAGTTGAACCCCAAACAAACCACCTCTAGCCCCGGGCTGGGTCCGCAGTAATCATTTGTTGACTTTGCCTGAAATGGCCGCATTTTCACAACCATGTTGAAGAATGCCTTCTCATTTTCCTAATTGGAGTCATTCTGCTATTTCTCCTATTATGTTGGTTAAAACTGTGCACACACACAAACATATGTATATGTATATATGCACATAAAGGTATACACAGTATTCCCCAATTTAATATTATATGAATTTAATTATGGAATGATGCTGGGAAAGTGGTACATTGGAAATACTGGTATTCCAGTGCTCCGTGTTTTATCGCAGATCAGTGTAGGAAGTTTTGCTGATGGATCTGTGGCAACACCAGTAAGCCATTCACAGACTCAGACTACTCTTTGTTCTCTCATTTGTTATGAAATACAATACTCTTCCTGACCCAGAGGTGTGTTATAGAACTTCAGATTTTTTTATTTAAATGTGACCGACCATAGCATATCTATTTTGTTAGAAATTATAATGCTGTGTATTGAAAGTTCCCTACCAAATGTCTAAGTTCTTACTAAAAGGAACATGGGGATTTGGGACTGTAATTTGACCTTAGAAATATCTGTAGGAAACATTACCATAAAAATAATTTGGTATCAAGAAGGGTCCTTAATGTTTGCAATTAGGCTAACCATCAAAAGAAGCATCTTGTCTTTCCAAACCCAGCTTCCACGTTGCTTAGGGACAAGAAAGAACATCTGACCTCACTCTCCTGGTTTTGCTGCTTGTGACCCTGAACGAGACCTTGACCATGGAGGTTAACCCTGACCCTTGTTTTCTTTGCAGACTGCATCATCTGCTATCAAAGGTGCTATTCAGCTGGGAATAGGATACACAGTGGGGAATCTCACTTCTAAGCCCGATAGAGATGTCCTCATGCAAGACTTTTACGTAGTGGAAAGCGTCTTCCTGCCCAGGTAAGAACATTTCCACTTGCTAAAGAGCCTGCTGAGCGGCCTCTCCCAGTTGAAGGCTTTCATACCTTCACATGCATACATGTCCACGCTGGACCTTTAGTGGGCCCAGAAGCAGTGCTGGTCGTGGCTACTTTCTTTGGCCTCAGGTGGCTTGCATTTTTTTTACGTGGAGATGGGAGGTAGGTTCTGTCCTATGGGCCACTTGTAATTAGTCACGGTAATGCCAGGAAAATGGCGTGAAGACAGACTTTGAGATTCAGCAGGAAAGAGTGCGGTGCTCACGGAGCAGCATCTGCGTGGGTTCTGACAAAGAGGGCGTTGTGGAAGAAGCAGCAGGTGCCAGGTTGTTGCTCCCCCCAATTTCAAAGACGGGCTGGGAGCCCACAGTTGGGCCTCATATCTGAGCTCAGTCATTAGCTCTTCCTTTGCGATGACTTTGACTTAGTTTCCCTCTGGAGAACTTCGGAGACTCCTGCCATTTTGACACCATATTTGCGAAAACACCCAGTTAACCACGCGTGTTGCCTCCAGCTTTATTGTGTTTGGGGGTGGGGAGATCAACGCAGTAAATAAATGTGAGGCACGTGGTAGTGGTGGCTGAGCGCGGCTTGAATACCCGTAGTCCCACCGAGCTGTACGCTTACACACGGCTTAAGTGGTAGCCCTATGTTGCGTAGCCTTTACCAAAATAAAGTTTTAAAGCCTGGCACCAGCTCAGTAGAGGAAGACAAGTAATCATGATTGAATTGGAAAGATCACCGCTGCTGACGGGATTTTTCAAAGAGAACGGTCTAGCCAGTAAAAATGCGGATAGGTACTTGATTTGGGGGCTTAAGGCATTTATTTTGTCTTTGGGGCAAGGAGGTTTGACTTGTAAGGCACGTTTATACTTTAAAATAACCATTTCCCTCCCAAATAAGTCGCTTTCATTTTCACTTATTACTGGGCTTGGGCGAGAATGGCTGAGGCGACCCTTGGGCCCTCGGGGTCTGCATTACGTTATTTTTTTTTTTTTAAGTCTTCAGGGAAATGATACTTGTGTGTATTTCCATGTCCAGGTGTCAGCTGTCTGGAAATCAAACCAGTAGGTGATGAACTGAAACAGCCTAGTTTTGGTTTAAATGCTCTGGGCTGAAATACAGAACTATCAGAACTTTTGAAGTGCATTTCCCTTGGGTCCTTAGCAGCCCCCAGAACTAATTTCCAGACAGAAGATGGACAACCCTTTATTTCTCTTTGTTGTCTGATTGCTGTTGCTAGGACTTCTAATACTATGTTGGACAAGAGTGGTGAGAGTGGGCATCCTTGTCGTGTTCCTGATCTCAACGGGAAGGCTGCAAGCTTTTTCCCATTGAGGATGATATTTGCTGTGGGTCTTTCATAGATAGATTTTTATGAAGTTCAGGAATGTTCCCTCTATCCCTATACTTTGAAGCGTTTTAATCAGGAACGGATTCTGGATTTTGTCAAATGCTTTTTCTGCATCAATTGAGAAGACCATGTGGTTCTTCTCTCTTCTCTTATTAATTTGTTCTATCACATTGATTGATTTGCAAATGTTGAACCATCCTTGGTCATGGTGGATAATCTTTTTAATGTGTTGTTGGATCCTGTTTGCTAGGATCTTGTTGAGAATCTTAGCATCCATATTCATCAGTGATATTGGTCTGAAATTCTCCTTTTTGGTAGGGTCTTTGCCTGGTTTGGGGATCAGGGTAATGCTGGCTTCATAGAGTCTGGAAGTTTTCCTTCTGCTTCAATTTTTTGAAACAGCTTCAGGAGAATAGGTGTTATTTCTTCTTTGAAAGTTTGGTAGAATTCCCCAGGGAATCCATCAGGTCCTGGGCTCTTGTTTTTTGGGAGGTTTTTGATCACTGCTTCAATCTCGTTACTAGATATCGGTCTATTCAGGTTGTCAATTTCTTCCTGGTTCAATTTTGGGAGTTTATAGTTTTCCAGGAATGCATCCATTTCATCTAGGTTGCTTAACTTATTGGCATATAACTGTTGATAATAACGTCTGATGATTGTTTCTACTTCCTTGGTGTTAGTTGTGATCTCTCCCTTTTCATTCATAATTTTATTAATTTGGGCTTTCTCTCTTTTCTTTTGGATTAGTGTGGCCAATGGTTTATCGATATTGATTCTTTCAAAAAAACCAGCTTCTAGTTTCATTGATACGTTTACTGTATCTCTGGTTTCTACCTCATTGATCTCTGCTCTAATCTTGATTATTTCCCTTCTTATGTGTGCAGTTGGTTTGATTTGTTGTTTATTCTCCAGTTCTTTAAGGTATAGAGACAGCTGGTGTGTTCTGGATTTTTCAATTTTTTTGAGGGAGGCTTGGATGGCTATGTATTTCCCCCTTAGGACCTCCTTTGCTGTATCCCATAGGTTTTGGACCAAAGTGTCTTCATTCTCATTGGTTTCCATGAATTGTTTCAGTACTTCTTTGATCTCCTGGTTGATCCAAGCATTCTTAAGCAAGGTGGTCTTTAGCTTCCAGGTGTTTGAGTTCCTTCTGAACTTTTCCTTGTGATTGAGCTCCAGTTTCAAAGCATTGTGATCTGAGAATATGCAGGGAATGATGTCAAAAAAAAAAAAAAAAGATGGATAACCCAAGGCCTGAAATAGAGGCCTGTTTACTCATGACACTGTTGATCTTTCTGGAGTTGGAAATTGTCCTGTGTGGTTTTTATTATTTTTTACAAGATTGTATTGATTTATTTGAGCGAGAGAGTGAGAGAGAGAGCACGAACAGGGGGAGGGGCAGCGACAGAGGGAGAAACAGACTCCCCGGTGAGCAGGGAGCCCGACACAGGACTCGATCCCAGGACCCTGGGATCATGACCTGAGCCAAAGGTAGATGCTTCACCGACTGAGCCACCCAGGCGCCCCTGTGTGTTTGTTTTTAGCAATCTGTTTAGCATTCCCAGAAAGTATGCATTAACTACATTTTTTCTCTAGAAAGTCAGAATGTCATGAGTTTATCTGAATCTTTTGGTATGATCTGTGGTTAATAATTGCTATAAAAGTGCTTGTGAGCTGTTCCGGCCTCTACCCAGACATTTCAACCAGAGGTTTTTTACATTGGCTACGAAGACCAAGAGGAACGGAGGTCTTTTGTGGGAGGGGGGGCTGGCAGTGAGTTCAGGGTGCAGAGAGCAGTTACAGCTGCAGATGGGTGGAGGAAGAAGAGCAAAGTGCTCCATCCCCCATGGTGTCCTATCGACAGAGGAACTGTGGATGGGCCCCAGGGAAGGCATGTCTCAAGCAGGTGGTCCCCAGACCTGCAGCTTAGGCTCACCTGAACTTGTTAGAAATGCGTATTATTGGGCTCCACCCCAGATCAGCTGAATCAGGAACTTTGGGGGTGGGACCGAGAAAATCCTTCCAGAAGGTTCTATGCACAGAACCAAGAACCACTGAGCTAGCACAGTACTTCCCGTGTTACAGTGATAATCTTTCCAGTAGCTCCCAGATTTCATTCTTGGAGTTATTACATGATTTTTGCAACTAGTAAAACTCCAAATGATTTTTAAATTAATACCTAAAATTTCAAAATCATATCTATTTAGTAACTAAATGATAGAGGACACTCCAGGAGATACTTTCCGATAAGGAACACATACATAGGACCTCATAGGCATGGAAGGCACTTTCTCGGGGCCATGAATCCTTTTATTCGTGGATGATTTATTATAAGTGTACTGCATTTTCTGATGAAGACAAATGAGGTTGTTTTTCACCTTTTTCTCCAGGAGTAGGAAAGCCAACATTGTCCATACCTAGAATTTATGTCTTTCTTTTTTTAAAAAAGATTTTATTTATTTATTTGAAGGAGAGCACAAGCAGGGGAGGGGCCGAGGGAGAGAGAGAAGCAGACTTCCCAAGGAGCAGGGAGCCCGACATGGGGCTCGATCCCAGGACCCCAAGATCATGACGCAAGCTGAAGGCAGGTGCTTAACTGACAGGGCCATCCAGGCGCCCCTGGAATTTGTGTCTTTGACCTTCACTCTCTGTGCCAGGATAGCAGCCGCAGCCCTTGCCTGGTAGCCACGTCACAGCTAGTTGACCCTCTTTGGAAGAACCCACTGTCACATTTAAAGTATATCATTTCAGGATCCTTCCCACCCCCTGGCCATGCCAGCCATAGCTCCTTGTTACTCTCGCAATCAGAATGCCCCCACAAAGTGATGAGCAAATCCAATACCTTGACCCTGGCGATGGTTTCATGGATATAGACGCCTGTGAAAATTAAGACTGTACTTTATCGTATCTCCGTGATGCCTCAGTAAAGTTGCCAGAAGAAGTTCCCTCCCTGCCTGCCCCTAATTCTCCACCTGCCTGGAGACAGGAGTTGGTGCGGGGGAGGGTGCTGGGCAGGACTGTCCCTGGTTATGAGCAGCTGAGCGTTCTGAAGTGTCTGATGGCTCTGAAATGCAAGGAATCTATCTGGGTCATAGAGGAAACTAATTGCTTAGGGCGCCGTGAGATGTTCTAATTCACTACCGTCGTGAAGCTGCAGGATCTGTTTCCCTTAGCAACAGAGCGAACTGTGATATTTATTTATTTAGTTAGTTAGTTATTTTAAAGGGGGGGCTCGGCGTTATTTTTAGACATTATGCATTTGTCCTCCAGATGATTTCACTTTGTAGATGGAGAAGGTCTGGACTTGAGATTCAAGGGATGATATAAAATCCCTTTCAACGATCTGGTTCCGTGATCTTCCAGAATCAAAGTAAATGAGTAGGAGGGTGGTGACCGTATCTTCATCTTTTGACTCCAAACTCCCTGCTGCACTCAGAAACTCAAAGTTGTGGATCCATTTCCATGTGTAGATGAGATGAGGAATAAAGAGGATGTTCTGTGATGTTTTGCCTTGTGAACATGAACCTGGGGTGGAAGAACGCAAAATTTATGAGGACCAGCTATGAACCACCCATAGTTTTGATATAATATTTATGTAACATATAGTATTAAATTATTGTTTTTTCACA